TGTATGCCAGGTATGGGGTCTTTGAACCAGTGGGCTCATCAACAGGGCCAGGAGCGTTCCATGACTGGCCCTACTGCTCCGAGAGTTCCACTTGCTTTGACAATGGAACCGGAAACCTTGCCAAAGACAGAGAATTTGACGACAACTAAGCCCATGGATGGACATTCCAGGGCGTCTACCCCAAGCCCACCGGCAACATCGTCTCCTGCGGCGGTTGAAACTATTCAACCTATTGCTTTGCTTTCAACTTCAAGCCAGGAAAACTTGGAGAAGCCTGAGAACCCGGGTGTGTCAATGCCAGAGGCACCAAAAGCTGACAACCTTGGTGCCATGGAGCAGGATCGGCTGCAACCACCATTGGAGGTAAAGTCCAAAACCGATCCTGCGGTTCCACTGCCTGAAAAACACGATCCTGTGGTACCAGGGCCTGAAAAGCACAAGGGTGTGAAGTCTGCGCTCTTGAGCTTGGATGAGGCAATGGAAAAGCGTGAGACTGACAAGAGAGGCATTCCAAAGTCAGGCGCCGCAATGAAGAGGCCAGCCGCTAAAGGCCCGACTGCGAAAGCAAAAGCTAAAGCAGCGAGCGCCAAGGCAAGCAACGTCCCAAAGAAAGTGATGTCTTCTTCGAAGCCTGTTCAGAAAGCGATGGCAAAGACCAAGGTGAAGAAAAACGCAAAGTCGAAGTCGAAACCTTGTCTCCGGCCATGGCCGTCTCAGAAAGAAATGAAGAAGTGGAAGCCTACAGGTTGCAGCAAGTGCAGAAATGTTCCTGGCTGCACCACCTCATGCTGGGTGCAACGAAGACATGGTCCACCACCTTCAAAATGAGGACAGCTTAGCTCTTCTTCGTCAATGTGACCTGCAGCTTCACAGGCCGCACTGACTGTCAGCGGCCTGCCGCCTCAGTGACTTGTTGGGGTAGGGATGCAAGAGACATCCTTCAGTTCTGTAATTTTGAAGCTGAATCTGACCTGCAGCTTCGCAGGCGCACTTTGTGAGCGGCCTCGTGGGCCGCCTCAGTGATTTGTTGGGGTGGGGGTGCAACAGACATCCTTGAAGCCAGCTTTTGCGGGTATAGAAATGTTGTTTTGCCATGGTGACATTCAGTAGATAGATAATCTTCCTGGAAACCCATGTGTTGTTTGACTTGCTTTATGTCGTGCCACCTGTCAGCATGTATTCCCAGCTGCGCTTCGATTGTGTGTCACAAGCAAAACTGCGAAACTACACTGAAACCACAAGTGGGTACAAACTGTGCCACTATGTTCCACTGTCAAGTACTGGAGGGTTTAATTTAATGGCCCCTGCCTGTTCTAAGAATAACCACTTTCAATACAAAATTATGTGAACGAAAGCAGTGCAAGGGAGTGTTATCTACCACATGTTTGCTTTCTAGCGAGCCATGTCTGCCACTACATCGTCCTCCCATCAACCAGGTCGTTCACGACACAGGCGCCGCCGTACTTCCAGGAAAAGAAGATAGAAGCTCAGAGAGAGCACTACGAAGGCGCAGAACATTGCGCTTTAATCAGGTCGTCAGCCCATCTCCTCCTACAGACAATGAAAATTGCTTTCATTGGCGAGCTTCAGATGGCGTGGAAAAGGCCACTGCGTCCACATGTGGTTCTTCCCAAGTGAAGTTGGAGTCAGAGATGCTTGGTGGCCAAACTGAGCAGCCCCAGAAACGAAAACATAGAAAAAAAGCCGAAGTCCAAGCCGGAGAGTCCAGAAGAGGTGAAGGCCTGCGTGTGTGTCGCAAGATATCGGCGCAAAAAGGAGCTGGATCCAGATCCTGCGCAGCACAACCATGATCCTTCTCCTGAAGTTTCAGAGACTTTGGCAGAGACTTCAGAGGCAAAAGTGCAAGATCGTGGGCCGCCAAAGATTTCGCACTTGGCAGCAGCAGATGCCCACCACTCAGTAGATCTTAAGCCAGAGATTTCTCAATCAGCATCGACAGATGCCAATCCAGACATTTCGCAATCGGCATCACCAGATGCCCAGCCAGAGATTTCGCAATCGGCATCAGCAGATGCCCAGCCAGAGATTTTGCAATCGGTATCAGCAGATGCCCAGCCAGAGATTTTGCAATCGGCTTCATCAGCAGATGCCCAGCCCGAGATTTCGCAATCGGCTTCATCAGCAGATGCCCAGCAATCAGTTTCACCATTGGCATCAGCAGAGGCCCAGCCAACGAATTCGAAAGAAACACCAGCTCCAAATAGTGAGACTTCGGCCCAAGCAGTGGATGCCCAGCAGCCAGCCGCAGAGCAAGAAACGCAGCCAGAAGCGCCAGGATGGAAGCAGCGCCTATGCAAAGATGGTGTGGTGCGTTGGTTCATGGAGTACCGTGACGATCATGGTTTCAGAAGCAAACGAGAATGGGAGCGACAAGTTTTAAAGAAGAACCGCAGCCGCCGAGGCAAGTAGGATAGAATAGCGTCTGTGCTGGAAAAAGAGATGGCAGAGCATGAGTGGGGATACGTTTCCAACAAGGTTTTGAAACGCTATCAGGAGGGTTTGTTTTCAGCACTGCGTGCAGAAGACACATGGTAGATCACAAACGCATCAGTTTTGGTACGTTTCTGTAACTAGGTTCCTCTGGCATTTACTTGTGGCGCTGTGCTTGTTTAAGCGTGGGGCTGCTCTGTGGGCAATTTAAGCATACTGTAAATGGTGCACAAGTTGAGGGTGGTTTGTTCAAGCATCGGGCTCTGTGACGCCTTTCCCCCACAGTCATGCACATTTAAGCATACATGGTAAACAAGTTGAAGGTGGTTTGTTTTAGCATGGGGCGGCTCTGTGGGCCGCCTATCCTCCACACTCATGCACATTTAAGGGTACATGGTAAACAAGCTGAAGGTGGTTTGTTTAAGCGTGGGGCGGCTCTGTGGGCCGCCTATCCCCCACACAGATGCACATTTAAGCGTACATGGTAAACAAGTTGAAGGTGGTTTGTTTAAGCGTGGGGCGGCTCTGTGGGCCGCATATCCCCCACACAGATGCACATTTAAGCGTACACGGTAAACAAGTTGAAGGTGGTTTGTTTAAGCGTGGGGCAGCTCTGTGGGCCGCCTATCCCCCACACAGATGCACATTTAAGCGTACATGGTAAACAAGTTGAAGGTGGTTTGTTTAAGCATGGGGCGGCTTTGTGGGCCGCCTTTCCCAACACTCATGCACTTTTAACCGTACATGGTAAACAAGTTGAAGGTGGTTTGTTTAAGCATGGGCTTTCCCCCACACTCATGCACATTGTTTGGACAAATTAAGAGACTCAGGAAAATGTAAAAGATGTAAATGACTGAGATAGCAAACGTTTCCTGACCTTGAAACGAAACTTTAAATTATTGAGATAGCGCGGGGGCTTGCATTAGTTGCAACACCGCGCCTGACCGTGAAACGTAACTTCAAAAAAATAAAAGAGCGCGGGTGGATTTGCATTAGTTGCAACACTGCATAAATGATCGTTCATAGATGTACATATGCTGTATAATATACGTATATATGCGTCCAATATACATCAATATACGCCCAATATACGTCAATATACGCCCAATATAACTCAATATACGTCCAATATACGTCAATATACGTCAATATACGTCCAATATACGTCAATATACGTCCAATATACGTCAATATACGTCAATATGCGTCCAATATACGTCAATATACGTCCAATATTCGTCAATATACGTCCAATATACATCAATATACGTCAATATACGTCCAATATATTTGACAGTTTTGCTGCTATATTGATTGTTTTATATACGAGTTTTCTTTGACAGGTGTGTTTCCGCGATCGCCGTCGCAGCCAAGCCACCTTGGTAGTCACCGTGTTTTCTTAGTCATGCTCAACTACGGCTACGTGACTACCATGACATGGGAGAATTTTCGCGAAGACCAACTGGCAGCCATGATTGAGTGGCAAGGCGAATTACCAGCGAAACAGAGTCATCGTTATCGTCTTGGAGGCAACACGCACTTAGGATGCATTGCGGCAGTCATTGTAACAAAACCTTTAGTTTTTCAATGGTAGACTACTCCGGTGTTGCATCTTCTACCAGAATGTAAGTTTGTTCATAACATTTCATAACAACATCAAACATATAGTTTTTTCCCTGTGTCTTCAAGGATCTTTTTGGAGCTGGGCATTCGGGGCAGCTTTGTTCCATTCCAAGCGATTGAAGAGCAAGTGTACGAGCACTATGACATCTTCGAGCGGAAGACGACTCCATTATCCATTGCGGTTGCGCGTCCACCCTCGGGAGTTGCTCAGAAGATTTACCATTTGGTCCGCGATGGGAACTATGTAGACATCAAGTCCTTCCAGGGAGAATTTGTAACCAGGGTGAAATATCACGGGAGTGCACAGGTTCAAGACTTCTTGATGTTCTGCATGGACGCTGTGGACGACACCGTCCCTCCCATCGATCGACGAAAACAGATGCGTTTTGTGGTGAACGGTACACACTTCATCTCAAATGGTGAGTGGCGTGATGAGGTTTCAAAATGTTTTTCGCCAATGAGTGAGGAGGCTGTGCCTAAGGCAGCGCCCAAATCCTCCAAGGCAGCACCCAAGAAATCTCCCAAGCCGGCGCCCAAGAAGTCCTCGAAAAAAGAGACCGGCTGCTAATCAGAGCCATGGTGTCAAAAAGAGGCCAGCCATGAGCTGAAAGAATCATGGCACTTGGGCTTGCCGCATTTGAATACCCTTCAAGCGGCTCAGTGGGCCGCGCCTTGTGCAGCGGCCTTGTGGGCCGCCAAAAGAGGGCTTTTTGATTCAGGTGGACAGCGCCAGCTGTCCCCAATGGAGAGAGACAATCACGATTGTCATTGTGACCATCATGAGAATCATGAACATGAGCCTCATCAGCATTATCATTGACACCGTCGAGACTATCGTGACAGCGCTAGCAGTGTATGCGTTTTTTGTTTTGAGTTTTTCTGGTCCGAAAAGAAAGCGCATCGTTCCCTTCTCTTTGGCACTCATCATGGATGCAGAACCTGCGCCAACCCTTCAGCAGCCGGGCGAGTCACAAGTCAATCCATCTGTCCAGCCAATCTTGAGTGACGAGAGCCAGCGTCTTATGAGGGAATGCCCAGAAAACCAATTGGGCATGGACACTCCTGAGAAGGTTGGAGAGGAGCAGGTTGAAGAAGCAGAAGTGAGTCAAACTGCCAAGGTCGACTCTCTGGTTCTCATGGACAGCCCTCCCAAAGATGAGGAATTGAGCAAAGTCGTTTGCCAGAAGTGCCAGATGGAGGTGTTTGTGTTCGATGCCCAAGCCAAAGGCAAGACTTGGTGGTGTAAAGCGTGCAATGCCATCAACTCGACACTCCGTCGAAACCTCACATGGCCACCTCCAGAGTTTGCTGCTCTGACCACCGAAGAACAGGTTCAATTTTGGCAACAGTGCCGTGCCATGAGGGAAGAAAGCACCGATGGACGACTTCGGTATGATCGATTGCGTGATGTGCTGGTCAATAGCCTTACCATGGTCAAGACCAGTGAGCTTGCCAAGAGCAGCAAAGGCACTTATCTGCCGTTGTCAGTGTATGCGCAGCAGCTTGGCTGCCTTTGGCATTCGTTTCTTCTGTTTTGTGTTCCATGGATGGCAGTAGTTCATTTGTATAGTATATATAGTAAACATAAAACAACTTGATGTATATAAAGAGACTTTTGCAACATTAAAACAATCAAGCAACAGCCCAGGAAAGGATACAACACGAACCAGATCCAGGAGAACGCGCCACAGATGTGGGATCCAATCTTGCAGGAAAAGACCTACATGCTCCCGGTGACGTCTTTGCAAGAGAAAGAGGTGAAACAAAGGATTGAGAGCTCTGTGGCTGCTGCAGAGCGAAGTGTCCGCAAGCGTAAGGTGGACCACCAGCCTGAGGCAGCCAATGTTACAGGCGCTATGATCCTGGATCTGTTGAGCGACAACGAAGACGCGCCGGACACGGAGCAACCGATCCCTGAACCCGAACAAGAACTTACAGCTAAACAGTTGGAAGCCCAAAGGAAGAAGGAGGAGAAGGCTGCTGCACGCAAGGCAGAGGAGCGCAAGAAAGAGAGCCAGAAAGAACGTCGTGAGACGCTGAAGATGAACAAAACCATCGTGAATTTGGCTGGCAAGGCTGTGGTGGAATTGCAGCCTCTGTGCGTGGAGCTGCAGCAGACCTGTGCTTCTGGAGATGACAATTGGCCAGACCTCTTGAAAGAGAATTTGGTGCAAGAGCGCGATGTCCTGCTTGACTGGAAGAAGGCGGCGGCTGCAGCTTTGCAAAAGCATGCCAAGAATTCTGAGGCCAAATTGGAAGCTCTCCCGTTCAAAGACAGCCAAGAGATGATGGTCAGGGTCAAAGCAGCAAAGAAATTTGTTCAGGATGCCAAGTCAGCCTCTTCCAAGAAGAGGAAGAATAAATAAAGGCATCTTTTTGATGCGGCTTAGCGGGCCGCAACTTAGCAAGCTTCGCGTTGCCGCGGCTTTGTGGGCCGCATGAAATGGCTTCAATGGCCGCGGCTTTGTGGCCGCTTGGTGGTTGCGGCCTCGAAGGCCGCCGCCTGGCTTTTTTACCTTGCAATCATGCAGTGACAGGTTCTGTATAGTTCGAACCAGGTCATAATGAGGTCATATGACGACGTCTGAGTTGCATGGATGAGCGTTGAACCTGCGCGCAGAACGAAAATGTCGATCGTGCGAAAGCTTCTGCAAGCCCAGCGCTCACCAGGAGCTGGTTGACGTTCACAGTTGGGGTAGCCGGTATGTGCTCAGAGTAAGGCATGGCACACAGACATGGGTTCTAAACTTCGAATTGTTCAAAAGGAATTCAATCCTCACCAAAAAATGTATCTTATTGCAACTGCATGTATGCCTTTTAGGTTTGGGCCTGCATGAAGTCATCACAAGATGTTTCTTCATGTGATCGCATGTTTTCCTTGTAAAGGGGAGCCTGCGTGCCCAAGTCTCGAAAAACTAGCCATGGCCATGAAGATGACCTTGCGCTACGCGAATGCTTGAAAGTGCCAGGCTGCACTGAGAAGGCGTTGCATGGCATTTTGCAGATTGCTCGCCCAGAAGTGATTCCCAAGTCTTACTCAGGTTACAAGCGCAAAGTCCACAAAGAACTACCACACGATTGCACAGTAAAACTGCCAGTGGGAGAAAACAAAGATGGACAGATGATCCATGTAGCTGCGACTCACATACCAAAGTTCTTGCAGCATTTGGCATCCCAGAATGGTGCCTTCGCGAGGAGACTTGTCCACATCATTGACAGGTCTAACGGAGAGTCCTTCAAACCTTTGTTTTATTGGGATGAAGTGATTTCAGGAAACCCGCTAGCACCGCATTCTTCCAAGAAGATTGCCATTGGATACTTTACTATGGTGGAGTTGCAGCAGAGGCACAAAGAGGAAAGCTGGATCCCATTGCTGGTGGCGCAACACAAAAGCTTGGAGACAGTGAGCGGTGGTTTTTCCAGAATGATGCGAGAAGTGGTTTTGTTGGTGCGATCTTTTGATATGCAACATGGCATTCCCTTGGAAGTGGATGGGAATCAAAGCCTTCTTCGCATTGACATCGTGAAAGCAAATTTCATTGCAGACTTTGATGCCATCAGGGCAACGTACAATTGGAGAGGCAGCGCTTCGATCAAAGCGTGTATAGCGTGCAAAAACGTGTGCAAAAGAGATTCCAATCTTGTTGATGGCGAGAACTATCTTACAGAAATTTCGGAAACCAAATGGTCCAAGTTTGATCTCTGGAGTGACCAGGAAGTTTTTGAGCTTTGGGATATGATGGCCCGAGACACGCCCACAATGAAAAAAAAGGACAAAGAAAAATTCGAGAAGCTTGCTGGCTTCAATTGGAATCCAAATGCTTTGTTCGCTCACGCTGAGGCCAGGGAAATTTTGAAACCAAGCGCCGTGCTTTTTGACCCAATGCATATTTTCTGGGCATCAGGTGTGGCAGCTTGGGAGGTTGTCAACTTGATGTCAGTACTTGCGACCAAGTGCAATTTTACTTGTGAAGATCTAGCCGGAAAAATTCAGGGCACCCCTTGGTGTAGTAGTACGCGAAAAGGGCAGTCCTGGCGAAAGAATTTGGCTGATGCACAAAAGTTCTCTGGTGATGCTTACCGTGGCTCAGCCAGTGATTTGAGAATGCTCATTCCTTTGATGCTTTATCACATCATGGAGTCAATCGACGACACTGAGCCTGTTCAGGCTGAGCTTCAATCCTTTTATGCCCTGGTTAAGCTTCTGGAGATTTTGGCCAGCTTTCAATGTGGGATCTCGAAAGTCAAATGCCAACAACTTTTGAAGCAAACCGAAACCTACTTGGAGCTTTACCTTTTGGCCTATGAAAACTGCAAGCCAAAGCACCATTACCAATTGCACCTGTGTGACATGATCTGGCGTACTCAACTTTGTGTGGACTGCTTCCCACAAGAGGCAAAACACAGGACGTACGAGTATCAACTTCAAAACAGGCTGGATGGGATGCTACATGATCCATTCCTGTTTTCAGAAGGCGTCTTGACGCGTCTTTTGAACAGCCACTGCCGCCTTTTCGACAAGCCGTGCTTGCCTGGTGACCTCACACCTCCACTATCTGAAAGTCAAAAGCTTGTAGATGGTTCGATGGTGTCTGTGCTAGAAGGCGCCGCTTTAGATCTGGAAGCAGGCCGTGTCTACAAAGATGATTTTGTGATAAGCCCGCGTGGCAGCGGTTTGGTACGAGCTTGTTTGAGATTTCGCGATCGCGCTTGGGTGCACATCGACCTCTACGATAAAGTTTTTTGGACCGTGGATTAGCAAGTTTTCCACCATTTTTCCTCATCGACCTCCATATATATCATGAAAATTTTCCCCTGTTCTATTAGCGGCCCCCAAAGCCGCAGCGGCCCTCAAAGCCGCAGCGGCCCTCAAAGCCGCCGTATGATTGTTGTTGTGAACAACATTCGTTGATCATCTTCGCACGCGTCTAAACAAAACCATGTATATAGACCATCATTTTTCGTCTTAAATAACTTAAGTAGCTTTGACGGTCGCTGCGGCTCTGGGGGCCGCAGCAACAAAACCTGTGTTTGAAGTGATTTCGGTTGAATGGTTTCTCTGTCCCACCGCCAAGGTTGAGAGCTGGGCTTGCAACAACGTGACCTTGTGGCGCCCAAAGGGCGACACGAAACTGGTTGCTGATGCGGATTTTTACAGCGCTTGGCAAAAGCCTAGCCACTGGCACAAACGGCAGGACAACAGCATTCTCCTTCTCTGCTGACGACTCAATTAAAGAGAAAACTTGCCTGAAGTTATTTGAAGTTACAAACACTTACAAAAACTTACGGTTGCTCAGATTTTACTAAGTAAGATATGTTTTCATAACTTCCATCTAACTTCTTGTAAGTCTGATATCTACTTATAAGTTCGCTAAGTAGAAACGGCCCTCGTTGTGGTGGAGGGTTTGCAGTCAGGCCGTTCGGTTCGGGCTTTGGTGCAGTTGTTGACCGACAAGGTAGACTTGGAGATCTACAATGACAACAGGGCGGCGATTGTGCTGGCATCCGGTTCTGGAGGAGGGTGGAGGACTCGTCATCTTCGTATTAGAGCCAGCTGCCTGGCCGAAGCCATGAAGGTGGGAGAACTTTCACTGACCCATCGAGTTGGAACAGCACTGTGGGCTGATGCACTCACAAAGCCCCTACCAATACCATCGCTGGAGAAGTTTTGCCGTGGGGTACACCTATGCCAAGATTGGGACCTCACAGTCAAGGAGACGAACAGCCTACCTAATGACGAGGGGGTGAAGGTCTCAAAGTGTATGGCGATGATGTTGACAGGTGTTTCCTTACTGCCTCAGGGAGCTGCGAGTGAAGTGTGCGAGAAGGGTGAGGAGAACCAGAATCAGGCGCCGTCAATGTTTGGTGATTTGGGCTGGTTCGTCTTCCTTGCTGGCCTGGTCTGCTTTTTGCATGTGCTGAAGGATGTTGGTTTTGCGCTGATTAAGCGGGTCATGGCGGGGAAGGAGGAGGTCAAAGTGAAGAGATTGAGTGATGATGCCACAATTCCCGTGAAGGGATCAGATGGTGCAGCAGGCTGGGATCTGGCTTGCTCGATGCCACTTCAAATTGCTCCAGGAGAACGCCGTCTGGTATCCACAGGGCTGGCCTTTGAGATTCCACATGGGTGCTATGGTCGCATCGCCTCGAGGAGCTCTTTGGCGGTACAAGGGTTGGAGGTTGCCGGAGGCGTGGTGGACTCAGACTTTCGGGGAGAGCTGAAGATCATCTTAGTCAACAATGGCGACACCATCAAGTCGTTGGAGGTGGGCGACCGGGTGGCTCAGTTGGTGATTGAGAGGGTGTCAACGGCTCCGATTGTCGTGGTGCCGGAACTGACCAACACGTCAAGAGGCAGTGGAGGTTTTGGAATCTCAGGGCTGGCAGTGAGGGCTATGAGGGCAGGTTCTGCAGAGAGCAGGGTCGGAGAAGATGAAGTACAAGAAGGTGGCCTTCGTGATCGGGGTGACCGGGTACAAGAAGGTGGCCTTCGTGATCGGGGTGACCGGGTACCAGAAGGTGGCCTACATGATCGGGGTGACCAAGTACAAGAGGGGAATCTACAAGATGAGGGTGCTCACGAACATGAAGGGGGGCCAGGTCAGAGTGGAGGTCTTCTACGTGTCCGAGAGAGCGGCAGAGTGGTGGCTTCGGGTCGAGTGCCCGACCGTGTCAGTTTTGAGACGTTCACCTCCCGAGGAGGAGAGACTATGCAGATCTTTTTGGAGCGCCTGCGACAAGGTGAACTGCAAGCCTATTCATGGTTGCTGGCAGATTGTGTGTTGCGGGTCATTTGCAACATGCCTTTGAATGGTGCTCCACATGAGGTCAATGTGCAGTTTCATCAAGCCTTGGTGATCATGAAGATCCACCGGCACGGTGGGCTGAGGAAAAAGCTCTTTGACAGCGACATGTCTGTCCCTCCAGTTGCACGGGGAATTGGCTCGGATGTGGTCACCATCGCCTGGTTGGAAGATGGGAGAAAGATGATCAGATCGGACCCCAGAAAAGGAAGTCATGGAATGCACTACCTACAACAAAGGTGGTCGGGATTCAGCATCTTGTTCCGCGTCGTGGAGCTGGTGAATGATCAGGCTGGGGCTGGAACAGGTTCATGCTGAAGAGATCGCTGGCGGTCATTGAAGACGAAAGGGGTATCCGATGAGTGGGTGAAAGGAAGAAGCATGGCACTATGTTTCGGAGATGGTTGATCGCTCTGGGTTGCTAGCGCTGCTTTGCTTGCGGCCGGATTCGGTGGGCGAATGCTGCTGTGGGCTGAGTGAGTTGTGATTTTCCATAGGGAGTGGTCGACTTAGATCTCCGATCTCGAAAGGGCTTGAGCTGGGACGAAATTTCCATGTCCCCTTTTTTGTGTGAATGTGAATGCGTTTTTTGTGATGGTGTGAATAGAGCACCATATTTTACCCAGGGATTCAAAGCCCTGAAGAACTTCAGCGGGGGAGAGCGAATCCCTGTCTGGAGGTCATGTGAAGTTGGATTGAAGACTTGCGATCATGGAAGCCCTTTTTGTTTGAGGAAAACCAAGTGCGAAACAACTTCGTACTGTTTGTGCTTATAATTAATACCTTGTGGCACTTCAAAAGGCAACTCTGTCACTTAGTACATCCAGGTATGACTCCGTATGACTCAATAGATATCTCATCTACAGCTCGGGACCCTGAAAACTCCACTCCTCTCGCCTCTCACCTACGAGTACCCAGTGGTGTTCGCGTTCACCTGTGTGTCTCCTCCGATTCATGTGATCCTCCCGGAGCTACCAGCGTTTTGGGGTCACCGGTTTCCCAGACCTCCCCCTTTGGCCGCCAAGGCTGACGTGGGTCATCCACGAGACCGAGGTGAGTGGGTGGACCGGGTCGTGAAGCGTGGACGGACCATGGCTCCGGTCTGGGCTCCAGGTGAGTTCTCACCCATCCCCAACGAGTCCCCAAGATTGGGGAGTCCCAAAGAGACATCCACCTACAGCAGAAGGTGTTGACCTGGTTTGGGGATTCACCCACAGGGGAAACTCCAGAATCAGCCGCAAAACCAAAAGGTCCACCATCACCCGCGACCGGAAGCGACCTCACCGAAACCCACTCGACCGCCCCGCGCGACCGCCACGCGCCCGCCACGCTTCACCCAGCGGCTGTGCTTGGCCTGAGTCGACTGGACCTTCCTCAGCGAATCTGGGGCTGCGGTAGTGAAGGTCGACCCAAACACTCCAGAAAGCCCAACTGGTCCCTCAAAACATCTCAAAACCATAGGGATTGGTGAGAAACCCCAGACCCCTCCATATGAGGGTACGGCCCCAAAGGATTCGGGGTCCAGGGTCGCGTTTGGGTAGACTAAAAGCACGGAACATGTAAGGACAGGTAAGCATACGTACCTCACATGTTGTGCACCGTCACCACTCACCGGGCCACGAAGACGTGTCATGTTAATCCAAGAAGACGTGACAAACCTCGAGCTTTTGGTCTTACGGGTATTCCACATGTTCCCGAACCTGCAGGGTCGGCATGCCTGGACCTGACTTTCTTCGTACCGAGTTTCTGGGACTACGACCCGAACCCCAAAACCAGCTATATCATTGCTATAGACCTGGACCCTCCTGTCGGGGTGTCCTGGCTGGACTACCCCACACTACCTATAGGCATCCAGACAGGGCACCCCTTGGAGGGTCCTGGGACATAGACTAAGTTACAACTGTTCAAACCCCACCATCGACTCTTCAGCATCTCCGAGCGGAACCGTGGACACCGGGTTTCTCTTCACCTCGTCGGTCCGTGATGCCCGGAATTCCGTGGCGAAGAAGGCACTGGGTGACCCAGTCAGTCATGGGCTCCGAGTCTTGACCCGCGTTTTTAAATAGGGAGACCTCCCAGGTCTGCCTGGAAGAAGAAAGTAGACATAGTTTCATCAGTGGTTGGAGGGTCTACCCGGTACCCTAATTACACCGAACAAAACGGCTCTGCAAAGACGTTGCAAACGCGTCGGAAGTGGTTTGAACGTCTCAGGTCGCAAGCGGTTCGGCGATTTGACTCTATAGAGTCGACTTGTTCGTACTTGGAGAAGAGATGGGGCGTGAGTGGTCCCTGCTTTTGGGTGGGGGCCTCTGGGAGTCATGTCCAATTTTCTGCGGTACGAACGAAGTCGGTAGAAGGTGCAAAGATCCCAAGACACATCGACAAACATGCTGGATGAACAAAGCCAAGGCCACTGTGCTACACTGTCATCATCTTTGGAAGTCTAAGGCATGAGAAAACAAGGCTCCAGGATGGTCCGGAATCCAACCATTCTTGTTCCATTGGATGATTCTGTGCAGCACCCTCCAGGGATCAAATGATGAGTCCATCAACCCTCCAGGTGGTCCGTCCATCCATCCTCCAGGGGGGCCCCTTCCAGCTGTTGAACACGATCTCTCCGCGCGTCGCAGCCCGGCCGACCCAACTTGACCAAGCTGAGCCTCTCCAACGATCCGCTGGCCTCCCTCAAGTGACGTTGCAACTCTTCCATGCGCTTCGGGCGCGAGCTCGCCCCGGCCCGGTGGCGACCGCGACGGACGTGCGCGCACCGGCGCGGTCGGTGGCTCGAGCGGCACTCACTGCAGCAGGTGGCAGTAGCACGTGGGGCGCCGAGCCCCTGTGGTGTCGACGATTGGAGTTGAGAAAACGATGAAAACAAATGAATCTTGGAACATCTTGGAAGCGCCTCAAGTTGCTGGAAGTCACTAAAAGATTGGTTTATTCATGTTTATTCAAT